CTTGATTTCCAGACATAGTGTCGTCTATTTACCTTTATTCTTTCATAAGGGTGTTGATCTTTGAAGTTTGTCAGGTGCAATATTCAGGAGGTTGGGGAAAACGGAAGGGCAGGAGCCTGCTAGAAGAAGGCTAGGGAATGAAAAGGGAAAAAAGAGAGAGGGAGGAAAGGTAAGCAAAAACAGTTCACTAATACAGATTCGTGGAGAGAAAGGGAGAAATATTCTGGGGAGGGAAAAAAGAAGTCGACCAAAGGTCCTGCACACAAAACTATACTGTGTCCGTTGAGAAACCAGGGTACATGTTGCAATCAGTGCCGAAATTGGGTTTGGAGGTAGGCTACCACAAAGATATTTAAATGGGCGTTAAGAGGGAAGCTATGAAGCTAGTTTGATCATGAGATAAGACAAGAATTCCGAGTCTCACACTCGCAAGTCAGCTGAGACTTCGACATGTAGGTCTCAGACCTCGTCTAAGTGATGAAGAGCAGGCGAACGATTCTTATTGATCATTCCACGAATGTGTACTTGTTAAGATGCGCGTTGACTGTCCAGGACGAGTCTCTATACTTCAAGTTCCAGGGCTTGACCTTCTATCTCTCGAAACGTACCACACTGCAAGGCCAGAATGACCACTACATTAGATAGCGGGTAGGAAGGACCCACAGATACCAATCAAAGCTTTCTGTTGTATCCAGCCGCCACCGTATGACCATACCCAAGTACTAATACCTGCCTGGTATTTTTTGCTGGATTTCTTGCCTTAGGCAGAAACTCGTGGCTGACTGATGGTCCGTGGCTAGTGCTCGAGCTACGTACCTCTTCAACATCCACAACCTAACTGTTCGGCGACAGCTCTTCATCCTTTCATCCAGCGTACTCGCCAAGTTTTCTTCTCGTGTTGAGATCTTCATATCACATACAGTCTCCTCTGTGCCACAGGTCGTTCGAAATCTCATATTCAAGACCTTTGGTTTCGTGAAACCAGTTTATAATATCGAAGGAGTGTCATCACTCTATCTCCAGAATGGCGCTCGATAACTACTATCACAATAAAATCGAGAGCATGAAGCTCGAGATTATTCAAGGGCAAGCGGTGCTACGGAGATTGGAAGCACAGCGTAATGACTATAACTCGAGGGTGCGGTTACTTCGGGAGGAACTGGGGTTACTCCAACAGCCTGGCTCCTACGTCGGCGAGGTAGTCAAGGTAATGAGTACCAAAAAGGTACTCGTGAAAGTACATCCAGAAGGGAAATATGGTTAGTTTCATACCCGCATTTTCCTCGAATTCGTCATCCTTTAGCTGACTCGTTTTGGCATGCATCTAGTGGTGGATATTGCAGATGGTGTCGACATCAGCAAGCTAACTGTAGGAAAACGAGTCGCCCTACTTTCCGACTCTTACAAACTGGAAAAGATGCTACCTTCCTCTGTTGACCCTCTTGTATCTCTTATGATGGTTGAGAAGGTTCCGGATAGCACGTACGACATGATCGGTGGTCTCGATCAACAAATCAAGGAAATCAAAGAAGTTATTGAACTTGGCCTGAAACATCCGGAGCTGTTCGAATCTCTTGGCATCGCGCAACCGAAAGGTGTTCTTCTGTATGGGCCACCGGGAACTGGTAAAACTCTGCTTGCTCGAGCAGTTGCCCACCATACGGATTGTCGATTCATTAGGGTCAGCGGTTCGGAATTAGTGCAGAAGTATATTGGTGAAGGTAGTCGTATGGTGCGCGAGCTGTTTGTGATGGCTCGGGAGCACGCGCCGAGCATCATCTTCATGGACGAGATCGACAGCATTGGATCCAGTCGCATAGACTCAGCAGGCTCGGGTGACTCAGAGGTGCAGCGTACGATGTTGGAACTGCTCAATCAATTGGACGGTTTCGAGCCTACAAAGAACATCAAAATTATCATGGCTACGAACAGGCTGGATATTTTGGATCCGGCCCTGTTACGTCCGGGACGGATCGACCGGAAAATTGAATTCCCCCCGCCATCGTAAGCATCCTTTCCCTGGCTCTATGGCATGTTTCGGCAGAATGACGGGTAGTATGTATGCAAATGACTAACTCACCTTTCTTATTGGCAACAGGGTCGAAGCTCGCGCTGATATTTTGCGAATTCACTCACGATCAATGAACTTGACGCGTGGTATCAACCTAACGAAGATTGCAGAAAAAATGAATGGATGCTCTGGTGCGGAGCTAAAGGGTGTATGCACTGAGGCAGGCATGTACGCCCTTCGAGAGAGGCGGGTGCATGTTACGCAAGAAGACTTTGATCTGGCTACGGCCAAGATTCTCAACAAGCATGACGATAAGGAGGTTGCTGTTTCCAAGCTTTTCAAGTAGACATAGCAAGACTGAAGAATGGAAGCGGCCTGATAATAGATCGAGCCTATTGCATAAGCAAGAAGCATGTAACACCATTGCTACCTTCCCGATTCTATTGAATAAAACTCAGCAAAGTAATCCTACTGGCTATTTTGGATACTGAAAACAAGGGCTGCATGGCACTCTTCCCAATTATGAATGATATAGAGATCAGTCAGTAATTCTCTACCATTGTGTCTAGTACAGGTCATTACTGGATGACCTTCCCAAGTCTTACCATATCCGATTTGGCTTATTCAATGAGTGATAATCGTGGATATGTGAATGTCTTCTGGGTCATAACAACCCCCTAGGCGAAATTTGAGAAGCCTTAAGGAGGCAGTCACCTCACCTCACCTCATCCTTGGAGGGGGAGTTTCTAGCTTTTCCGTTTCTGTTGCTATGCTCACTGCCTATTGAGAACACCGCAAGTGGCCCCCAAAGATGGATCAACCTCCGCAAGTTATTACGACGGATATATATGTGGTACTAACGGCGACGTAATTAGTACTAACCCCACAGGCGCTTGCTAAATCTACCTGATATATATTAGTTAATAGCTTAAAATTCAATAGCTTGAAATGTTCGAGACGCTCAAAACTTAAAATGCTTTAAAGCCTAACATACTAGTATAGAATACAGGTCGATACTACTAGGTAGGTATGGAGCTTTACACCATACGTCCGTGTAATATCACGTGATACCAAACTGACTAGAGTAACTTTTGGTGCACAGCTCTGTATGTATATTACTTCAGAAGGCTTAGTGAAAATCAAGGATAAAAAGTATGTATGACTGGTTGAAAAACATCTAGGCTTCAATTTAACTATAAATTTTCAATTTGACCGTAAGGTCAATCTATGTCGGAGTACTGATCCCACACCAGATACTTGGCACAACGGACATGTGCCAAGATATCGAGTCAGCCCAGGCGAGCTGAACTCAGCTGGGAGATATATCAAGGATGATCTGTAAGGGATACCTTCACCTTCTTTTCTTTTGGAATGCTAATTCATTGTAGGGTAGCTTGATCCTTTATTAGCCATATAGTACCGTAAATTGCGCATGATGAATAGAGCAAGTACCCTATCCTTGGTTGACTATAAGTAGAGGGTCTTATAACTAGTTACGGTTGTGCTTGTGCTAGTTAATCGTTCGTGTTAACTAGTTAGTTGGTTACTCCAAAGCCATAAAGGAGGCCTCCTATTGAAAGGTAAGAACAGCTTAGGTGTCGAGGTACGGCTGAAGTCCATAACTTCTTAGTTATCTCTCCATTCAATAGACGGGAGACTGGGCCAAAAAGGGGGGAAGGATTGTACGAAGAACAACCAATTAAATCATTTATTGGAAGGACTGGATGATCGCTTTCTTGTGTGCTTTGGTTGACGCGTCGTGGGAAGAAGTTTGGAGTCCGCGTGACTAGCAGATCAGTTACCCCGTGTGTGGATCAGCCGATTGTCGTGTCTCCATACCAATTCCTTGAGTACTACTATTATCCCATTCAGGGTCTCGGCTCAGGTGGGGCAGTCCAGATCTGATGACCTTCAGTAAGGTGGATACTCCAGACGGAAAGAACCACAGAACACCGAGTACTCCATACCCCGAATAAACATCGGTAGGAATAACCTTGCTTGCACGGATATCCATTTACAGTACTTGCTTGTATCAAACCCCAACCTCATCAACATCCGAGTAGAAAGGTACCATCTCGTACCTAACTAGATATTCTTGCCATACTCAGAATTGAGACTAAATTCCATCCTTTCATAGTGGACCTAGTTATGAGGGATTCTCCGGCAAGTTCCTCGGAACTGCCCAACCAATCCATGAGGGTGAAGGTAAATTTAGGGACCCGAAATACCTTTCTACAGCTCATAATCAAAAGCAACTTTGTTTTTTATGCTGCTTTGTTCTTCGTTCGATTTCTTAATGTTTCCTGCAGCGCTGTATTACCCACCTTGTTCGGGATGGGCTCATGTTTCCCTCCATGGCCCACCGGCGGTTGTGATATTGGTTGGTCAGTGATTGATTGACACGTCTCCCCATTCCAGCACATTCATAATGTATTCTTCATATAAGATCGACCCAGTTTATTCATTGAAGGGGGACTCGGTATTTTTCAATCACAAATCCGTGGTCGTATATTTCTCTCCATACTATCTCTTTCTCTAGACTTACAAAGACAAGAGCCAATCCATCCATATATTTAAGCTTGTTCCATCGGTTTTCTAGAATTTATTGATTCTACTTGTCTGGCCCACGAAATCATCGGCTTCCGGCCCGAACGCATTCCCCGGACTTGCTCTTTTAGTTATTTCCGTTTCGCCTGTGTTAATTGTTCGGTGTACTTTCTACTCCTGCCGCTAGCACTATTTACTCGGTGTAGTTTGATTTGTTCGTTCAACCCAATTTATCCGGCTTACGCTTTACATTGTTACTCGCCATCAGACCCCCGTTACACTCTCGTTGACTCTTTCTTTTCACTAAATGCTTCAGATATACTCATATCCATGTTCATATATGTAAAGTCTCAGCCCGCTTCTCCTGCACTATCTCTCTGTCTACTTCAATAAGCGGCGCATACCACCTTACCGACCCTTTACTTTTCGCCTATACTGAACTATGGCCCAAGGAGAGTTGTGGTCTACACTAGTCACTGCAATCGACCCAGGAAATATCAGAGCTATGCCGGCCGTCCTTCAGTCAACTATCGATCTCTTAGAGACAGAACTGGCCAAGGCCAGGGCCGCGCTCAAAGAAATTCAACCTGATACTGCACCCATCTTGATACCCGGGGATGAGCTTGCCGTTGGGGCGATTGCGGCTTATCGCCAAAATCTCATTACACGAGCCTCAGACTTTTACTATGGCTCCCGCCGCCTATCTCCCAAGGAGGTGGGACTAGTCCCTGTCATCCAGGAGCTACAGTCAGATGAAGAAGAGGATGAGGAGTCACGGCCAAAGCCCGAAGGTATTATTCTTGCGGCGCATCCCAAGCAAGTTTCCCTCGTGGATGTTCTCTCGAACAGCCTGATTCTCGATCATATGGCTCCATACCTCTCAGTCCCAACACTGCTTGCCCTAGCCTCAACGTCGCACGTTCTTCGTTCCATGATTATGGAACTCCGTATATTTTTCGGCATCTCGATCTGACCCAATTTCCTGGACACTGGTTTCCTAATAAGCCATCAAGGAGCTCGGAAGCTCGGGTTAGTAACAATGAACGTCTGGAGAACTCCTTGACTGAGGATGCACCCCATTCGGCCCCTCTCCAAAGAATATTCGCTGGTTTGGGGCGGGGTTCTATCCTTCAAGATGTGCGAACCCTAATCTTGGATGGTCTCCCTGTTCCAGCAGATCTGGTTGCGGAACTTATCTTGACAGACCGTTTCAGTATAAACATACTGTCAATAAGGGAATGTCGTCAGCTAAATGAGCGCAAACTGATACAGGTGCTTCAGCGAGCTGTCCGGCCTTCGCGTCCCAAAGGGACCCCTCGGGTGAAAGGTATTTATTACTTCACCCCGGTGAGCCAGCCTCGAGCCATCATGAGGAGCCGGTACCGTGACTGGTGGAGTTCCAGATGCACTCGTACAACGAGCTACGGAGCTCTGAAGACGCAAGAAGAGCCCCAATCCGATGGCGCTCGTGAGAGCGCATTGTATTATCAGAATGCGTGGTATTGCCCCTCTGGAAAACTTATACCTCGCTCGATCGAGGAAGGTTGGGCCCCCACAATCCAACAATGCGAGGGTATCATATCTTTCGACGCCGTACTGTGTCGTGGTCCCCGGCATAATTCTGATCTCTACAAATCACCAGGACATAACGAAAATAGGTATCAGGGCGAAGGTCAACCACTCGAACCAGCAATCGCTACCGTTGCCTTAGGTCCCAGAGGGTGCGACGGCTGCCATACTTCACCAGAAGGTCCGGCAGTTTGGGGTGAATCCCCGGAAGGGCAGTTTCCTTTGCTGGCCCCGCTCCCTTTGCATTCGTCATCTATAGCTGTGGCGAAGCGTCCAGCGCTCTTTCCCGATGCGCACCCTATCCTCGTTGCCCGTTGCGCAGAGTGTTTGAACGATCGCTGGTGTCGTCGGTGCAACAAATGGTTCTGCACGAACTGCCTACCAAGACCCGAACAAGTAAGGACTAACTTATCACCCCATCAAACTGCGATTAGGGGACCGCGAAGGAACCAGTATTCAAGCTTGTCTCACGAGCGAAGGGTAAATTTCTCAGTGACTGCTCAATCCCAGTGTAATGAACAACCACCGCTGACATGAATGTTGCAGAGATTCCAACCTGGAGTGAGCAGAGATTGCTGGGAGTGCGGGCCAACGGCAAGTGTTTTTTTCTTCTTCCAATTTATTATACCAAAATGATGGACTTCTCATATTAATCTGATGTACTCTTTCAGTGTGCTACCTGCAAAACTGAATGCCAAAGAACGTGTCAGAGTTGCCAAGGAGAATATTGTATTGATCATAATGAAGGTTGCTCTCCAACGATGGTACGCTACTGAACTGGCTTGTATGATTTTCAAGCCACAAGGACTAATGAATGTCATTCTAGTGTGACTGGTGTAACACAAGTGCGCGTCATCGTTTGAGGCAGCTCTATTGACATGTGGGTAAGTTAAATGGGTACTTCAGATTATACCCAGGGAACGTCTTATCTGAGGTGCTGTGAAGTGAATCATTGTTCATGACTTTTCACCAACATTGAGGGCTCTGTTTTTTCTGATCCTGATAGCATTAATAACCTTCTCCTTCCATGACCTGAACAAGAAGGCTGGCTTCATGCCAGCTGATACAATTCTTTTTGTCTGAGGGGTATGTAACGCCGTGGAAATATGGAGCCAATGAAGTAACGTGGCTGTGCCGTTTACATCCGCCATATCTGCTACGTAGAAGTTGTTTACTAGCTTCAAGTTGAAAGTAACCTAGACCAAAGGTAGTTCTATTCTTGTGTTCTCTGTGTGTTTCTGCCTTTTCCTCGTCTTCAAATACAGTAAGTCCTTGGGACCACTCCATAAGTTCCCTTGTCTAGCGCTTTTACCTAATCCTTTCCTTTTCCTGTCTATTAATTGATCCCCTTCATACATCTATAGATTAGAGAAATAGATCATATAACCTCTCTAGATTTTTCAAGTCCTCAACGAAATCAAAATCTGCCGGCAGGGATAATCGAGAACTCCATTATATACTGTTTATTCTGCCCTGACTAGACCGGCTAACCCTGTTCTAGTAGGTGGATAGGATCGCCTGGGCAGGAAAGAACATCAAAGTAATTGCCACTGATAGGTAGACAACAGCTGGTTATACATCAGATCTGAAACCCAGCAATTGCGGTGAGTAGGTCAGTTTTTACTCAGCATAAGGATGAAGGCAATAGTTAACTAGTTAACTAGTAGATTTATGACAAATGTTTAGAAACTTTGGCGGTGAGGGTAGCTTCGAGAACAGCCGCGACGCTTCTTTTATCTTCGTATAAACTCCAGACACCTCCACTATCAAGAAAGGTTGCCCCGCCTATCTAAGATGTTGCGGAATATCTCATTCATTTTACCTCATAGCCTCTGCTATAGTACCAGTCAGAGTCATGTCTAAGGAATCGAGCCTCTTGCGCTGGTCCTCCTCATTCACGGTCACTGCGCCCGGTCGTACGCCCAAGCTGCCCGGCGACAAAATCACTTTGCCCCAGTCCGCCCTCGAGCAGCTCCTCGCAGCTGCCCCACTCCAGGAGGTACTTTCAAATAGGCCTGCTCACCCATATACTACAGCCTTTGATCCACTCAATCCACGAACCTTTGCGGCTGAGTCACGAGCACGCGAACAAGCTTTAGAACGTCAGCATCAGTTACCTCATCCGTTAACATTCCGTATTGTCAACCCCAAGAATGGCCGTGCGATATACGCTGGGATCCGCGAGTTCTCCGCCGAAGATAACGAAGTTGGTCTTAGTGTTTTCTTGAGAGACGCCTTAGGGATTGAAGAGAACCAATTCCCGTCGGAGACAAGTAGGTACCGGCAGACTTCGGAACCATCGGAAGCGATAGACGCCACTACGGAACCACTGCCTGCTTCTTTAGCCCCGGAATTAGCTCCTATAGTCACAGTCCATGTTGAACAGTTGCCCAAGGGAACCTATGTTCGTCTCCGTCCTCTTGAGGCTGGTTATGATCCAGAGGATTGGAAGGCTCTGCTTGAACGATACCTGCGAGATAACTTCACGACATTAAGCACAGGAGAGGTCTTGCAGGTGTCGGGAGGTCGGCACGAGTCGTTTAGGTTCTTGGTGGACAAAATTGAGCCAGACGGTGACGGCATTTGCATTATTGATACAGACTTGGAGGTAGACATTGTGGCCTTAACTGAAGATCAGGCAAGAGAAACCTACCAGAGGCGGCTGGAGAAGGCATCTCGTGCCATTGGAACTCAGGGGGACTCGTCAACTGGCGGGGTACTTTCTATTGGAGAGAAAGTGAATGGCCTGGTAGTTCCAGGTACATACGTTGACTACGAAATCCGCGAGTGGGATCGCGGAGAGCCTATTGTTATCACAATTGAAAGCGCAGATGATGCGGATGTCTTCCTTTTTATCAGCCCCCTCACCGCTCGCCAGAGGAACCGTCCTAGGGAAGACCAGCACCTTTTGGGTGACTTCACTACCCAACCAATAAAGTGTATTCAGATTGAGTCCACAAATGTAGAGCTGGAGACGGCAGAGGCTCTATATGTATCGGTTTATGCATTCGGCAATTTTGAATGCAGCGAGGAGTATTCACAGAAGCAAGAGCTACCGCTGCAATACAAGTTGCAGATTTCAACTAGTCATTCAGTTGGCTCCGACGGAGATTCGAAGGAGACATTAGCGCATGGTAATCCGAATGAAATTCAATGTGGCAATTGCCAACAGTGGGTGCCTCAGCAAACGCTAGTGCTACACGAGAGCTTTTGCCTTCGGAACAACGTACTTTGCCCCCAGTGCCATAATGTATTCCAAAAAAGGTCGTCTGAGTGGCAGAATCATTGGCATTGCCCTCATGACTCATCTTATGGCAATGATTTTGCAAGTAAGCAGAAGCATGCCGTTATCTTCCACTCCCAGCGTTCATGTCGCGCTTGTGGGCTTGAGATGGAAGGCCTTCCGCGACTCGCTCATCACCGCATAACTGATTGTCCAGAGAAACCAATCTTGTGTCAATTTTGTCATCTTGTAGTCCCCCAAAAAGGCGAGACGGATCCCGATATGCACGATCCAGAAGTCCTGGTCTCTGGACTTACTCCGCATGAATTAGTTGACGGTGGTCGCACAACAGAGTGTCACCTGTGTAACAAAATTGTTCGACTGCGCGACATGAAGACCCATTTGCGTCATCACGACCTGGAACGCTTGTCAAAACCCCCACCCCGTGTTTGCATGAACCAAAATTGTGGCCGTACACTTGATGGGCGCAGTGTACAAAATGCAGCCACGCCAGGGACTGATACGTTGGGCCTCTGCAGTTTTTGCTTTGGACCACTATATGTGGACACGTATGACCCAGAAGGAAAGGCACTCCGCCGTCGCATCGAGCGTCGATACCTTTCGCAAATGATGACAGGGTGTGGGAAGGCCTGGTGTCAGAATGAGTATTGCAAGAATGGGCGACGGATCAGAGAGCCTTCTTCCATACCAAAGAATGATACTCCGCTCGAATCGATGAGCGTAGCAAATATTCTAGCCACAATTAAACCCTTCGTCGACGCCATATGTCTGCAGAGCGGTAGTCTAAACACCGCGCCTTTTTACTTTTGCGCCGACCAAGTGGGCCAGCAGCGCCGCATACTCGCGGAGATGATAGCGGCCGAAGGTTCCATGGCTAGTAGCAAAGGGTATGATTTACCATGGTGTGTGGCATCTGTTGAAGCCACGGGAGGGGATCTCAGCAAGGCACGGGAATGGTTAGAGAACTGGGCTCCTGCGAAAGACGAGGAAGGTAGTGTTCTATGCTAGTGTCTGAGGGAATTGGCAAATTCCATACTAATGCTGAGGCTTTACTCTGATTATCGATGATAGATAGTTAAAAAGGTATGGCGAGGGAAGCCCGTTCTGGTAGATAGTTCATCTTACGTACGTCATTTACGCTCAGGCCGAAGCGGAATTTCAGTAGACAGTTAACTTTCTATTACCTGTACCTTTTTTGAGGCCTATTCTTATTTTGTTGCTTTCATCAGCCATAAGCAAGCAGCTCTCGTTGATTGGATTTGACAAACAGAAAGCCTGTAGGCACGAGTGTAGAGATCGCAGATTCATGATATTTTTTACATATTATTATAATGTGACCGAAATCCCTTGTTATCTACTCAGGACCGAGACCATCCACTTAGAAGACATATCACATTGGTTTCGAGAGAAAGCTTCAATATCAAGTTGCAGCCGTCTTTGCAGCCAAATTCCCACTTCCGCGTGAAGAGAAAATCCCCATGATCCCGAAAACGACGTAAAAAAGCGCCAATGGGTACGCTACTAAGCCTCTCATCCCACGCATCCGCGCAACCGCGCAAAACATTCCGGAGGAGCTGTAAGTACACCACCCTACGGCAGCTGTAGTCAACAGGTACCCGAACATAGTGTCCATAGGGATCATTATCCCAACAAGGTTAGTCAGCACAAGCGGTAGGAAACAGTAACCCAGAACACTAGCAGAGCGAGGGAATGTCAATGTGGCCGAGAAATGACCGGCGGCCGAGGCCTCGGAATACGAAGGTTTGTGATGAGGGTCGTAGTTGGCCTGGTCCGCAGCATTAGGCGCCGGGGCAGTATCGAGGGCCGGAGACATAAGACTGAGAATTAAATGTAAAGCGACAGTGCCGAAAACTGCAACACCGTAGATATAACCGTAAAAGACTTTACCAGAAAGGAGGAGAAATGTTCCGTAGAGGACGATGTAAAGCAGTGCGCCATAGAGATCGCTGTCATCCATAAGATGCTGGTCGATCCGGGCGAAAGGGTTGAGCACTGTCAAAGTCTACAAAATGTAAGTTGATGCCATCATGATGAAGGATAACAACAAGGGGAACAAGCCTTAGTTCTGATATGTTCGAAATTTACCCCCAGCTCCTCCAACAACGGCGGTTCCCCCTCATATCCCTCTGTACCGAATGCAGCAAGCCATCCAGTCCTCAACCCACCCTGTTCGCCCATCCGCCCACTAACACCAGTGGCTGGAGACCCAAAGCCGCCATATCCACCACCAACCCCTCCAATGGGGTACGCCTGAGCAGCCGGGTTAGGGCCTGCACTAAAGCCACCATAGGAAGCTTGAGAGGGAGTTGTATGGCCAGACACAGAACCGTAGGAAGAAGGATAAAACTGAAGGTTCTGTGCAGAAGCCTGGGATCCGTAGGGCTGTTGTTGCGGGTAGTATTGGGCCATTGGGGCCGAGTGATGAAAGCAGAAGTTGTCTAGATAGGGGAGGGTTCAAAGGTGAAAGCGCACACAAATAACAATACAATCGTAGTTTATTGGTGGTGTCAACGAATTGAGAGAAAGACAAACCAACATGGAGCGGAATGCTGTAGTGGGAGAGCACAACTAGTAGTTGTAGTGACAGTTGTCGGTATTGCCGTATTAAGTCCGACGAGACCCGTGACTTGGATGGTTAAGAGGCTGATGTGGATGTTTACCAAATTGGGCTTAGATCATGTACAATACACTAATCACGCGGTACATCCATTGTAATACTAATACCACAAAGACTTCTATTAATCGCAACAAGACTAAGACTTTCTACAGGAAATTAATACCTATTCCAAGCTGCAAACCTTTACGGCCTTCTTCGCCTTTCCTTAGCACCAGTGGTAAAGAGAAGTTCAGCTCGAACCTAGCAGCTGGATGAGCGTACACGAGTCCAATTCCTGCTGCGATGCTAGGCATTCCATTACCCAGCTCGGAAATTGTAGAAACCATGGCATCCTTCACTTCTGAGCCTGTAGCAGGTGCGCTCTTCTGTGCGGTTCGCAGTGGCAATAGACGACCGCCATTCACGAACGCCTGAAACCGCAAGGGTTTTTCCGCACCAACTCGGGGGAGTGGAAGGAGCAAGTTTGCACTCCCTGCAGCATATACATCTCCTCCCACAGCATCAGCTCCATCGTGAGGCCCAAGGCCGCAGAGGCGGAAACCACGAACATCCGTGGGGCCTCCGAGAAGAAAGCGATCATTAGTGCGCGAAAGTTGGAGTCTGTGATCGGCATCCATTCCAAGGGGACAAAGGAGACCGGCACGGAATCCAGTGGTAAAGCTGATACCACTATCGCCTTCGATGCCAGGCACTGGAATTGGAATTGCATTTTGTGCTTCAATTTCAGATTTCCAAAAAGATACATCTCCCTTTAGCGGACCCCAACCGGCTAGCTCATTGAAAACTTTAGCATAGTAGCCACGAGATGGAAGAAGCCCATTATCCCTGCAGTCTTTGGACCACAAATGAAAGATGCTGCTTTTCACACTATCACCTGCGTCTGCTCGGACTGTTGGGGATGCGTTCTCCGCTAGCCCAGTCATCTGCCGCCAAAAACCATTGTACCCGACTTCATGGCGATGGCCAGACTGACTCATCCACCGGAGCTTACTCCAACCACCTTTCAAGACCTCCTCGTGACTAGCCCAGGCCTTTTGAGTAGAGCTGGCGATGCCGCCAATTTCCAAGCGGAAATCCGGGTCACTCAGAATAGGTGTTTCAAATGTTGCTTGGTAGGCAGACCTTGTCCTAGTACCCAGTGAAGCGTTCAAATTTAGGTTTTCGGCACCGCCAAACACGTTCCGCCAGAGAAGATTGCCATATGCGGATCCCTCCGTGTTACCGAGATCGGTCCCGGTCTTCAGTAGAACACGAGACTTCTCTTTGACCGATACATACACGTCAAGATTTGGGAGTCCCGTTTGTGGGTCTCCTTCGGGCGATTGATCCAAGTACACAGACACTGGTTGCTGGAAAATGTCTACAATTGCGTTAATCAAAGTCTTAGTGGCAAATAACAATGGGTTACAAACCAAATCTACTTAGTCTATCGGCACGTGCCGAGACTTCCCGTAAGGCTTCAGAGAGAGTGTAAAGCTTCTTCTGGTTAGAACTCAAAAGAGGGTTAAAAATCCGTTCAAGAAAGCCCCTGCGCGTGTGGTGTGCGTTAAGAACTTGAACAGAGGAAATGGCACATGGAAGGGTGGAGTTTTGGTCGATCTAATATCATAGGCATGGGATCAGTACTCATTGCAGTATGTTCAGTTGTCTTTTGCCTCTATGCAATATTAGAGAAGGGGGGAAACAAGGATAAGAAAAACATAAGAGGGAAGTGAAACCACACCAATTCCCCAAGACGGGTCTGTGCCTTCTGGTAGATGGCGTGTATTCGCTCATTCACGGCCTGCTGCTGCTCCTCGAGAACTTTCGGGTCGGCACGCTGTTGAAGACGCTCGAAGATCTGAGAAAATAGAGAAATGTGGTTAGCAATCACAGAAATAAGCGTGCTTTGATCAATTCTAAGAGATCATACGTACATCTTCATCTTCGGCAGAAAGTGGGGAAGACATTGTTGCGGCTACAATGGCCAGCGACACATCTGGAAGGCTTTCTCGGCTATCTTCAATTGTCCCGGAAGTTGAGATGAAGGCTACATTTTGGCACGTGACCGGCACTGCTCCTTAGATTCACTCATCCAACAACACAGTGACTTTCCATCATCACTTTGCTCATTAGACAAACCCTGCGCAGTCTACAAACCGTATTGGCCTGCCTCCATTTTATCGTCTTCCGTGGGATTTTCCCTGAATCTCCGCACTTGAAACTAGGGCCCGAGCTAGGCAGAATACAATCCTTGTGAAAAGATGGCGACAAAAGCAGCCTTCAAACGGGTGAGTCTGGTAACTTAAATAGTACTCGAGCTGTTACTGACTACTATACAGCTTACTCGTGAATATCAGAACATACAAAAAAACCCACCACCCTATATAATCGCTCATCCATCAGAGTCCAACATTCTTGAGTAAGATGTCGATCATGTTTACCGTTGTTTCTCCCGAGTCGGCATTGATACAGGATATAGATGGCATTACATCCTCACTGGCCCCCCTGGGACACCGTACGAGAATGGACAATACTGGGGTACATTGATGTTCCCTCCAGAGTACCCATTTGCTCCACCAGCCATCCGCATGCATACCCCGAGCGGCCGATTTCAACCATCTGCTCGACTATGTCTCAGTATCAGTGATTTTCATCCCAAGTCCTTCAACCCAGCTTGGGAGGTTTCGACGATTCTTATCGGACTACTCTCCTTTATGACTAGCGAAGAGATGACTACGGGTAGCGTCAGTGCGTCAGAAGCGGAACGAAGAGTGCTAGCCGCGCGATCGAGATGGTGGAACTCCACCGGTGGAGGTTCTCACGTCATTTCCACTCCGGGAGTGACCCCTACAGCCAAGGGAATCAATAATGTGAAAGCAGGGGATGGCGGGCTGAAATTTCGCGCAGAATGGCCAGAATTAGACCAAGAGAACTGGAAGTGGATGAGGGACAATCGTATTGACACGAACACTGGTCAACTCATACCTGACCCAAATGCTGCTGCTACAAAATGTTCACCAGAGACCAGTGCACTGCGGAGGCGCCCGAATGGAAGTGCCCATGGCCTCGGGGCTGTGGTAGAAGGTGGTCATGTCGCACGAGAAGCGGGCCAAAGCTGGGTTCGACGAAATCGAGTTTGGGTTGGTCTCGCCTTATTGTTTGGATATGCACTTGTCGCGAGACTGCTAAATGATGTTCAAGGTTAAGATTAAGTGTCTTAACTCTTGACCCCTTTCATACCCAGGAAACGTTTGGCACCCAATACACATTGTCTTTTTATTTTCACTTTTTCTCCTTCTCTTCCTCCCTTGTTCTTTCTATTCTTATTTGAGTCGCCATTTCCCTTTATCACTCATAATTACTCTCTCTCCCTCTCCTCTCTCTACTTCACTTG